CGCACGCCGCCGGGCATACCCACCCACATCTTACCTCTCATAGTCAGTATTCGAGCGCTGAAAGGTCGTCGAAGGTTATTGAGTCAAACTCGTCCAATATGTTGCACATAATTATTAGCAGGAGGTCAGTCATGCTTGAAAGGTTTCTAACCTGAGGTAGTAACGCGAATAAGCTCTAATCCACTGAGTGTGCTTATCCCAATGCTTTTAAGGAGGACTTCTCTCTTCATTTTAAAAAACAGCTATCCCAAAAATCGTGCGCCAACAGCTGATGGTGCAGTGACTAAGTAAAGGTAAAGTAGTACAACAATAAATAAATGAAAAGCCAACAGATAGCGAACGATACCTCAAGGCCGGGATCGATGAGCTCCTTGATTTTGTCGACAACCCAATGATCGAAGAACGGATGGTACTTGTAGGTACTGCCGTCGATGGCGACGACCATTTTCGGTCGGCGTACTCGATTCAGCACACAGGTAATTGCTAAAAATATCACCAATACGACATCATAGGAAACCATAAGTTGTCATCACCTAAAGGCACATTCCACGCTGAATGTATGGGCGGAGACACTTATAGTTGAACCTTTGCTCCTCCGCCAATGATTGGCTTCGAGGAAAATCTAGTTTTAGAGGGCCACTCTTTGTAAGGATCGGTGGATGTCCTACACTCCACAAATCCTGCCCACATCCTATCCAATTTTTGCACCAGGTCGCCCACCCTGGAGCTCCTCCACCCCTAGGTCGAAGCAAAGATCTCCATTCCCCTGGTTCACGACCATTTCCTTGGACCACCTAACACAAGTCTGGAAAACACAATGTAGTGCCCCTCCCCCCAAGCTGGATTTTCACCACCATTGCTCCCTGTTTGTCATGGAAAAAGGGTACAAATGCCCCTTCTGTTAAATGAGAAAGGAAGCAAAGTTCCAGTGACTCCGCTCACACGTTTACCTTGAAAAAAGCCTTCATCACATAAGTCAAAGAGTCGTAATCGGGAAAAAGACCTACAAAGACATCTCTTACCTGCAGCACTGAGATTTGCACTTCGTCGTGAGACCACCAAACAGACTTCGCGGAACAACAACATATCGGAGAATGTGTAATCGTCGATACCCAACTCGTCCATAATTTGCCTCGTATTCGAATACGATCCACAGTCATCACTAGGTAAAAGTAAATCGAACAGACTTCTCAGAAGTAAATTATTTAAAAGAACACAGGGGCCGGAGGAGCCTCGTGCACATTCGATGAGATTGCGTCCCACATTGGTCAAACAACCTCACACCCCGAGGATTCGCGCAATCCGTGACGGTCTTACACAGAACCACGATAGGCTTTATATGACCACTGGGATCTTCGCAAAATTCCTCAACACTCTTGAATGTCCAAATTCAAAAAAAGAAACGAATGCATGGCTTAATCTCAAGGGATTGGTGAATGCCCGATGTTTCTAAGCCAACCTCATGAATTCTCTTGGCTACTCTAATTTGTAGACCGCTTATTTGAAAGCAAAGTGCCTAAGACAAACCTCGAAGCACTTCATAATTGGAAAAATGAGGCACTAAAGAAAAATGTATCCAAAAACTCACTTTAAAATCTCAGAAATATATTTGGTTGGAAATGAACCGATTGTGTACAGGAGTTTAGAGCCGTTTCCATTGAAAAGTACCTGAATCGAGAAGTAAAGCTAGAGGGCACCTTGAATTTATAAGGCCCCCTACGATTAGAGGCAGTGTAAGCTCAAGGGCGTGATCGAAACGCCTTCACCCAGTTCCTCCCTCCCTCAAATTCCTCGGCAATAATTTTGGAGGACGGAAAATAAGTGTTAGGTACGAATGTCAACAGACTATAATCGGTCGGTATGAGCACCCCTCCCTGCTGGAGGGGAACCTATACCGCTCGAGACTCTACGTCGTCACCCAGCTCCTCCCTTCCTCAACGTAGAGTCTCGACCGGGTATAGGTTCGATTTTCAATCTAAGTCTTATGAACAATGCTCTTATTCATATAAAATATAAAATCTCAGCTTACCTTATGGGTACACAGTTTCGCTAGTACAAGACGAACAATTTCACCCATACACATACCGGCAACCAGTTTATCGAGTCTATAATAGATATTGTTGAGTTATACTAATGGGTATAAAAACAAACCGAATCCGGTCATGAAATGTATGCGAAAAAGGAAAGCAAGTAGCTAAATAATTAGAGAGCACAAAAATAGGAATCCATTCATATCTAACATAGGACTGCAACTTTTGTTACCCAAAACTAGGAGACAAAGATTTTAACCTTTCTTGGGCTTACCATCTGACATTTTCCACGGCGAATTTATGCTGAAATGGCACCAATTATCGAAATCCTTTAGGATTTCCGATAGCTTTCACCTCAAACGAACGCGGATCATATCGGAGTTGAGAGCTTTATTTCAGCAACTTGCCCACTGCAACCCCGCCCAATTCCTTTTCGTTTCATTAACTAAGCACGGGTTATATCGAGATAAATGCTATTTTCCGTCCTATTCACTCGTTATCATTTTGTAGAATTCATTATATGGAATCATTTTCCAGATGGAACTGCACTCACGAGTTCACTCCAGGATGATCGGAACGTTCATCGACGATCTTATCGTACTGAGTAAAGATGTACTCGGCTTCTCCGTTGTCGCCAAATCCTCCCCATTCGGTATCGATGATCATCTGAGAAGGATCCCTTTTAGAAAAATGAATTAAAAAAACAAAAAACAGAAAAACAATGTCCAGGAAATAGTTGAATGTTTATCTACAAATTTAAGTCAATAATTAAATAATAGACATTTCAACAATGATAATTTGAATACAAATCAAAAACCAAATTAATTAATCAGTAAGTCATTTTCTGTCCGGAAAATATGTACGTACAATAATGCAAATATTTGCCATAAGAATGTTGAATAAAAGGTAAAAAAAAAGTACCTGTTTATGATTATAGGGCTCGCTTGCATTTGATAAGCCATGAATGATCTTTTTCGAATTTTCCATATAGGAGGCATTTGTTCCAGTTCCTAAACAAGAATATACACGCAAGAAATGAGGGGAATTAGGGCTTTTATAGTGAGCCGAAGTGCTGCAGTCAGCCTCTATTATAACACCGCGGGGACTTGAAAACTCTATCAGTAGCGCTCATTCTAGACGTTTTGGAAATCGCGGGTGATAAGAGCGCATTATGTGAAAATTGGTTTGTCAATGTTTGACCCTTTTCCCGGGTTCACCCATTCGCCTGCTCCCGATACTTCAATTCCAGCAAAATGCTGAGCATGAATGCGGTCTAGCATGGTTATCTCGGTCAGCAAAGAAATGAAAATTTCCGAAAATCCTCGTATTTTTCTGGAAAATTCCCACACAAACGTCCAGTAAATGCATTGTCATTCCACCCCACATAGACCGGCCTCCACCGAAAATTTTAATTGTAACTATTCCCCTTTCGCTTAAGATCTCTCAAACGGCGGCGGTCATGTGCACTTAGTTCACAGAATTCTTGCTCTAATATTAGAATAGTAAGAATGAAACATTCAGCTTTGATCGCTCCTTTTGGGCCGCGCCACGCGTTCTTCCTCCATTCAGGATCGTCAAGCTTCTAAATTAGCTGCGAGAGCCAGCCGATGGATAAGTTAGAGATTCCGGCCCCCACATGTTTGGGACCAAGTACCGGTTCCGCATGGAAAACTTGGTTGGCCTGGATAGCTTATATATGATCCAAGATTCGATTCCACATCCCCCGAGCCTGTACGTGGTCAGCAGGGTTAATTGCCACTACCGAACCACTTCCACCCGTTTTCTTGACATTCTCGCTAACAATTAAATTCTTACCAATGATTACTCCAATATCGCACTCTCCATTCGCCTCATATGCGGCTGCGACCATCGTTCCGACAGTGTCGTTGATCAGCGCCACGACTTCCACTTTGATCCGCTAAAACATTAAGAACCAATTTATTGCACCGCATTATGATCAAAAGTAATTTTTTCCTCTAGCTCTGAGAAACTAACTAGAGATAATGGAAAATGACTTTCGAAGCGAAGTCACAAATAGACGCAATGTGGATCGAGGGGGACAGATCAATATCACGGAAAAGCTATCTCAGGGACGCCTTAGCGGGAGAAGACATCAAGCAATTTCTCTTCGCGGAGTTTGATCCCTCTCCGTTAGGCCTAGTCCTAGTAGCCTTCCTATAGTCTACCCACTTCCCCGGAGGCACACTGCACATAAAAATATTTCCTGAAATGCTTCGGCTATCATCCGTTATCTACTCGAGGAATAACTCACTCCATCTCGTTCAATGGCGTCTTCCAAAGAGCTTCACAACGTCCTTGCCAACAACTCCAGTCGCTGTGACTCCTTTTGTCCATCTAAATACCTTTTTCTTGTGAACATGTGATGATAACTTTTGGTTAGACAACTTTGTAAGTTGTGGAACTTCTACCGAAAAAACTATATATTGCAATCAAGCACCTACCGTAACAAGGTGGCGCTCCGAAGACCGGTCTGGTCACATGGATAAGAAAACGTGAAGCCGACCGGTAGGTTTTCGTCGGCCAAATCTTTCTCGATGAGGAAATCGGCTAACGCTTTGGCTATGTAATCGAATAACTGAAAATTTGTTTTTGCATCACCGGAATTCATGACGACTTCAAATGAAAAACCACTTTCTGTTGCAGCTGACATAATATCGTTAGCGAGGGAAGGTTTGCACGATTATAGTCCTCGAAAAGGAATTGATTTCAATGTTAGGAAACGGAAAGCCCACCTTTTACGCAAACCTCATCCCCTTTGGAACAAGGGAATGATGGGAACCTTGGAGCAGGTGTTAGATGATGAAAGCAATAAGGATTGGTAGTCAACGGGGGTCAAGCAATAAAGGCAACAGTTCTTGCAGGTTATTCCAAGAGAATACAAAACCAATTAAAGCGAATTAAAATTCGGCGCTATCGCAAAATAAGGGGGGGGGGTGGCACGCAATATGAATGCCATAAACTCTCTTTCTTTGTTGACAATTAGGAATTAAAGCTAAAGGCTGGAAGTAAGACACTAGAAGAATTATTTTCCATGAAGATCCTTGCTCCGTCTAGACTTAGTCGATCAAAACCCTGTGTATTGGATAGGCCATAACATTTTTCAAAATTGAGAAAAATGCGTTCAATCCCGCCACTACACCAGGCCGAATAGCCAATGATGGAGAAATTGGAGGCGTGATCAGCAAAAGAGGACAATCCCTTATCCAGAAGCTTTTGCATGTGCTTTTGAATCCTGCGATACTTTTAGAAGACAACAAAAATCAGCATACAGATCATTTCCAGCATGAGGACATGACGTCATCTGCAGGCTACAACACACATTGCTATCTCATTGAGTATGAAAAAAGACCGTTTAGAATATTTTTTTTGTGAGTTTATTTTTTAAAATTTTTTTCTTATTTAATTTTTCAACCGTCGGGGTGTACAACCCCGGCTGCAAATTCACGGACAAAGTCCGGCTGTGGGAAACAACTGTACCTGTTCTCCGGTTCCATGCATTGCCGCATTCGGCATATACGTGTGTTGAACTGTTTCGTTCGCATTTTTTCACCGGTTCAATCTCCATAATCATCACTCGTAAATTCGTACCACCCAAATCCATAGCGACGAATTTGCCGCGTTCTAAACATATCGATCCAGGTTAACGAAATCATCAGAATGGAAACTTAGAGGAAAGGAAGCTTCATTGGAAAATTTCTGAGACATGGGTGTCAGGAATATAAGAGCGGACGAACTGTACCATCCAGGTAAACGCGGCAACGAAAAGAAGGCACATTGACGATAGTCGACTTTCTAAAATACCGACAAGGATAATACATATGACATAAATACGCCAAAGTAAATTGCCCAAGCAGGTTATTCGTTCGGCTGTTAGTGTCTAGCACCCAAGCTGCTGCACCGTACAGAAGCCAGTGATAGCACGGAATCTGTAGCCGGGTTCAACCGTGCTTGTGCGTAATTCACAAACAATATTACTACTCCCTTGAATTAGGATGGTTAGAAACACATTCTCCTCCGACCAACGGGCCGTCCGAATGGCAGGCTGGGGAAGGCGGCAAGACGGCGGGGTGGATAGGAAATGGAAAACGCTTCAACTTTTTATGAATAATTTTGCCTCCTTTCAATGAAAATATCTCAGAATCCCGTTAACCTAAACGATCCATCACTTTACAAGAAGCTTTTCAACTTCCATTCAAATGCACCCATTTTCTTCACTCCTTATAAATTTACCAACAAAAGATACGAGGCACCTCCCACCCAAAAAACACTCAAAGACGAGACCTTGGCTGAGCGCGCGCAACGCACGGTTGACCCTATCTGAGACCTTAGTGAACAGCTTTACTCTATCTACCAAACACACATCCATCTAAGGCTATGTTGGCTTGTGCTTCAACACGTTGGCGACGATGTCGGTCAATGTCTGACCGACAAGGCAGATTGCCACATGGGACGATGTCGTGTCAATTTTATATTTTTATTTATTTTATTTATTTATGCGTACAATGACGCGCCAGCTACAACAGGCAAAGCGGGACTGACTGCATGACTCAGAAAGAATAGAAAAAAACTATAACATAAACTGATAATTATAATGGCAGCTATTAAGACATTGCAAGTAAAAATTATGAAAAAGAATGAAAATGAAATAAACAGCAAAGAAGGACTACTGAGTGAGGAAAAGAAGAGAAGAAGTTGTTCAGGCAAGCTGCTTCCCTCGGCGAACGGGACAAGGAAGGGCATCATGTGTGCTCACGCAAACGAAGTCACACGAAGCTACGAAGATCAGAGAGTCAATGGTGACCGACAGCTTGAAAGTAAGCAAACTTAGATGGAACCCGCGACTTTTCTATTTCAACGTTTACTTCAGTGTCCTAACTTACTACACTTGTCTGCGAATTATGATCTTTCTAATTCCTGGGAGTTTTATTTCTGAAGCGCGTCAATTGAATACAACACAAAGTTACACGCGTCCAGCAAAACTGAAATCTCACTAAAATTGTTCATATCGACCACTTTACCAAATTAGGTCACCGTCAGTAGAATGTCCATTTCTAGCCTTAGGTTCCCATGATGGTCAAGTAGGCTCAGTCTTACTCATAGGCAGGACAAAAGTACCTATCCAGTCCATCAACTGCCAAATATTTCACAAACAAGTTTTTTGACCTTGAAATGACTCGTTTAAATCCCTTATTCGATCATGAAGAACAAGATAACAGTCAAACAAAAGCTCATTCCGTCAGGTACGCAAAGTTTTTTGCGTCATTCTTGAGTGAAAAATTCGTAGAAGATTTCAGATGTGATCAGGATACCAGTACCATCTAAAGGAAAGCTCATATTAATAATAAAAATGAAGAATGCGTGAAATTGCGCCTTCAGAACCTATTCTAACCTGAGGTTTGAAAATGCCAGGCGATGTCACTGAAATTTCACCCAGCATTCAGTAGTAACAACTTTTCCTTGTTTCTAAACGTGTCTGGAGTACTCTAGTCAAAGGCATTTTGTGCATTTCGAGATTTTACAGAGCTACAAAATAAGTTTTGCCCTGTTGTTACCGGCGCTTTGCATGCAAAAAACGCCTCGTCCCATGCGCGCGACAAGGAAAAAATCGCTCGTCGTCAACGTGTTAAAGGAATTCGCCATTTGTTTGCGACCTCGTGACGTGCTATCAACACTTTATTCGTTCTGGATGGAAAACCGGGAAAATTAACTACAAATTATTGGAAAAAATATTAATGAAAAAATCAATTTGTGCAACCGATTAAAGAAGTTTTTGCGTAAGGGCGGTCACTTTCAGAAAAAAAATTGATAGTGTAGCCAAAAAAAGAAAACTTCTCAATATGGAGAGTGAGCCTAGAAAAGGGGAGGAACCTAGGGGAAAATGAAAAATTGTTCACATACTTTCCCACCTCGCTATTCTTTCCCTAAGTTTATAATAGTATTATATGGAAGAGACTACGCGGAGGGGATGATTCAGGTAATATGAGCTTTTTGCAAAACCTGGATACCCTCCCCCCCCAGCAAGAATAGCAGCGCAGAGAACTTTGAATTCCTTGTGTTTTTTGTCCCTGGCTCTCAGCAAAGAGCTGCTGAGGATCCAGATCAACACAAAGCTTAACACCTTTCACGTCTGAGGATGCGCAACCTTCGTATTTACATAGGAATCGTATGGTGGACTAAATCTGATCAGTAGACCAATAATCTGAAGGTTCTACCCGATTGATCGATGGCTTATTTACAGGAAAAAACATAATTTTTCGCACCGACACGAATAACTACTACTACTTTCAATACTATTATCTATATCACTGAGAATTAAAATAACTGAAGGAAATTCTTATCTGTGTCAAATTTTTAGCACTGACTTGTAATCCGCTTTCAAGCCCTCGGTCCATGTTGTCACTCATATGTGACATCATTCGTCGAAGAGTGTTATTGGAGAGTTTAAACTCGGCCATTACTGACTCCAGCTGAAATTCCAATCGATCCTAGGAAATATTTAAAAGCGATGCTATTCTAACTAGTTGAAAAATTCCACAATCAAATTCGACTGGGATTTAATAAATACACGGTAATAAACATACGGAAATGAACTCGTGCTCGCCGAGACGAGCTTTGCCGGCCACTTTTTTGATATCTTTCTTGATACTTTTCTTCTCCTTGTCTTCATGTTGATGCCGTCTTTTATGATCCCACGCCCTAAATCGATTACCTATTGATTATTTCGATAACGCAAGCAGCTATGGTATAGTAGTGTGGGAATTGGGGTCGGGCAATATTTCTCCGGGCTGTAAATCACTCTCATGTATCAGACCATGAGCGCGCCATAGCGCCCAAGAATGGCCTGCTCCACCTGATCGCTCTTTGTGCTGATTAAACAACATCAGCCAGTGTTTACACGACGGATTTGAAAAAATAATACGACAAGTAAATAAGGGCTGGTAACATAACAAATATTAACAACCATCAACTCATTTAACGTGGAACAAATATTTTCATCAATATTCAATAAATTAAAAGGGGATTGAAAGGCGGGGGGTTTGTAGCCAACTACAGTCCTAAACAAGATACATGAATAAAACTCCCACACATTAGGTTAATGTCTTCGAAGAAGATATACATATCCAGAAGGAAAATGGTCATGACCGATAAAAGCCCACTTTTGATTTACGGAGAAGAATAAAGCATTCGGCGTTGAACAATTCGGTTATGGGATGCGCCATGCATTCGACTCCATACAGTTCTATCATGGATGGTAATTGGAATGCGATTTGCGCCCTGCATAAGAAGAAGTCGGGGACAACTTGTAAACAAAACTCAGTGTATTCTCGCGACAAGCAAAGTTGAACAAATCACGAGAGATGAATGACCTATGATTTAGCCGTGTGACTCATAGGCCAGGGAACTATAGATCCCGACCGCGTACGATAAGGCAATAGTCCACTTGCAGACACAATACCCGCCCTATATTACTTACACGAGAACACAGGTTGATGATAAAATGAACATTCCAGATTTGATCTCGCAACTATGGGTGTGGTAAACGATACCACGCCACCATTGTCAACCGTCCGTTTGCACCATTTAAACGAAGGGGTGGCATTTGTGATTTTGGGAAGGGGAAGGGTCGCATTTTGTGGTTGAGCAAAGTCGGAAAAGAAGGGGTTGTATTTCAACAAGTTTGGCGAAAGCTTCATGAAAATAGGGTAAACTAGACGAAAATTAGATGGTACATGGACCGCTTCCCATACCAAACCCTCTTAACATTCGACTGTTTCGTGGGCGAAGCTGGGGACGACTGGTCTCAGAATCAAATACTGTAGAAACAGCCATGATGGCGAGGGTGGTGATCGGGTAAGGGAGGAGACGTGACGTATTGAGGGATCCCCTTGAGGCTAATGGTAGTGGGGGTCGCGCCCAGAATCCTCCAAAAAGGGGGGATCGCAACATTTTCGAAAAAGTGCGATCGCGACGGCCGACCCTGCTTGCCGCTGTGCCACCATTGCCAAGAAGGACCGAATAAGGATACAAAAAACGCTGCGATTCTGTCACATTTTGGAATAAGCCGCGCATTCGTCATCGATTCAAAATCGCCGGATCACTCCAATGGACATTTTGCCTACAGAACAGCTTAGGCTGTCATCAAGTATATAGTACGATGTTTTTAATTCCCAGACGAGTACGACACCAACTAAACCGCTTTAGAGGGCTAAAGAGCTCAGCAGGCTTGACTGGGATTGCGTACGAAATCCAATCCATTGGCAGCGGTTCGCATGGCAGTAGCGTCATCATCTTCCGACGCCTCATTTCCATCCCCTACCTTATAATGAACAAAAAAAAGAACAATCAAATTAATGATCGACAAATTGATGAATTAATTAATGACTTAATTAATCATGTGAAACGATCAAAAACTTCAAGAAAATGGTTAATGCGGCTAAAATCCAATCACCTGTACGAGCAGGCCAGCTCTAAGGCTCCAAGCATGATCGATGTATGGTTTCAGCGTAGTCTGAAATTAGTTCGCTTTAAAATTCGAAGAAAAAATGATCATCCCTTCAACATACGAAAACTGCGAAAACGGGACATATCATATGAAAATAAATATCAAAATATCACCAGAAAAATAAATAAACGGCCAAAATGTAATAGATCGTGGTAATAATCCTATCACTTGTGAAAACTGAGAGGTTCCGAAAGAGAACAGATTAAGAGAACAATAATCGACGTAAACGAATTGCCTGTCGTTGCTGCCATGCTCTTGACAGTAACACGGCATATGAACTGCTGTTATTTGGGCGATGTTCATCCACGATGCTTATAAAAAATAGTATACTCCATTTCCCTCAAATAACAACGCTTTCGAGTATAGCCTATTCTGTTCATCTTGTTCGCTTCCTCACTGGTCTACCATTGAATGCGCTTTCCTTGAGACATAAGTGGAACAACTAATAAATAGTAAATCTTACGCAACCGAATAAACAGCAAAACACCAACATAATGTACTAGTTCTAACAACTCAGCGAAATATGCTGCGAATGAGAAGTCAGGACGTGTCCTCGCCTCATTGCACACCGCCCTTGTGCGACCGAAAATCATGTGAGCACACGCCCCGCGTTTACTACGCTGTCCAAAATGCGATATTTTGAAGAGTTTTTCACCTACAGCGCAACTGAGTTCCTCTATGCCCTGCAAACTGATTTTGAGCAGATAAAGCCCAGATCTCCATCAGGGACAACTGTTAACACGCACCCTTCGTATTTGTCAAACGACACCCTTAGTTAATAAATGTCGAGAGAGATCACTACAAAGAACCTTTCCAGTGGCAATGAGAACAGGTAAATCAGTCCACTTTGGGCAGCGGATTTCCCAGTTCACACCAGCTCTTCTTTCCCTGAGCCCCACAGCACTTTTTAAAGGACAGTAAACCATCCAGAACATTTATGGTCTCATGAAATCATTTAAGTTGTTGCCTGGTAACAAATTCGTGCAGAAATTTATAACGGCTTTTGGCGCTATATGTCTTGTGCCAATCTGCCTGTGCCCTCTTGCTCAGATTGCACGCACGAGGACCAAGACTTCATAAAAACTTTCGGATAGGTGTTTTGGCTCACCAACCATCCCCACTCGCTTCCCCACCCCACATCTCTCTTCATTGCTCGCAATTTGCTACAACCCGTGGCTCATGGATTTTTGCGGCAGCAGCTTCCTTTTCTTTTGAGTTAACTTTTGCTTTGGCAAGAAAATGCAATAGTAATAGTGCGCAATTTTGCGGGTTGTCGTAGCGCAAGATAGCAAGATTGCCCCTTCGGAGGCACACTGTACCAGGATTTTCATTTGAAAGTGTAATGAATAGAAGGAACAAATGTAAATGACAAGCCATCACTTTCTGACGACAATTTCTCCACGCGCTTCGTTTTTTGGCCGCTCTCGTTGCCGCTAACGACAGAGTCGTTTGAAATTCGACGCCCACTCGTCGATGTAAACGACAGCGGAACTGACTGATTATCGTTATGGCAGATCGACTATTTCGTAAATTGATATTCTGAGCGGGGGCGGAAGTGGTGTAGTGGCAAGTGGCACGCTTACCACGCGAGCGGTCCGGGGATCAAATCCTGGGTCGTGAGTCGCCCGGGCCAACCAAGCCTTCCATCCCTCCGGGGTCGGTTAATTGGTACCAGACTTGTCTGGGAGGATAAAAACACTGACTTGTACATCGGCTGGCCCCCGCAAGTCATTGTATAGGCCACATCGCCACTACGAATGTACAAATGGAAGTAGAATGCGTGCCGCATCCCAAAAAGGGATTGATCAACGGCAAATGCTTTATCCTTTATCCTTTTAAAAAAATGCAGCACTGAGAAATTAGAGAGCTTCCTTCAATGGGTTAGGTGTGACCACTTCTAACCTTAGGCTATTTTA